ACGTAAGTACGTAGTAGTAGTAGTAGAGAGTAGAGTAGTAGAGTAGTAGTAGAGTAGAGAGAGAGAGAGAGAGAGAGTAGAGAGAGAGAGACGAGAGAGACGAGAGAGAGAGAGAGAGAGAGAGAGAGAGAGGTTATGTAGAGATTGGGGAAGAGCACCCCTATTTATAATGAATATTTAAGTTTAGGGTTTCTTAAGGTTTTCCCATAGTTTACATATTTCATGAGATTGAATCTAGACTGTTGATCAAGGTGACTTGTGGGGTGAAGATCTGAGACATCCATTCCATAGATGGGCCATCAACATTATGGAAAGTGCTTGAGCCATTATCCTCATTTCCTTAAACCGTTTTTTCATCAATATATTTAAATAAAATAAATATCATGTATTTCGTAAAATTGCATGATCCATGTCACATATTCCATAAGGATATGTCAAATATTATCAAGTAAATAAATACTACCAAATATAAATAAGTTAAGGTCAATATTTACTATTTATTCAAATTGACCATATCCCTTTAAAGCAAACTTGCTATAAAACAAAATATGCCATGGTCAATATTTCCCTTCCAAGATTTTGACCACATGCCACAAATCAAAGTTACCAAAACTCAAAGTCTTGACCACAAAGCAATGAAAGAGTATCCAAAGGGATGCCACCCCTTTGTGGGACATGTGTGCCCCCACCCACATGCCACATGGTGGGCCCATGTGCACTTTGGGTCCTCATGAAAATTTATTAAAAAAGAAAAATTAAATTAAATGAATTAATATATATTTGAATTTTTACAACTTTGTAAAATCAATAACTGTATTTTTATAAGTTCAAAAATTATAATTAAAATATTGAGAGATTCATAAAAATTTAAATAATGAAACTAAAATCATTTCAATAATAAAATAAACACAATTAAATTAATATGATGAGAAAATGATCCATATGATTTTAGGAATTCAATCTGTAAATATGGGGTACTCCACCTTCAACTGTGGACTACAGACCACACTAGCTTCATCGAACCGACTCAGTGTTTCACATGACCAACAGTCCAAGCAGGAACTCATTAGTAGGTCACCAAAGTCAGATCGATGAATCAAGGGGTTGCAATCCCAATCTGTGGATTACAGGCCCTCCCCTAGAAACGAGTCAAAGTCACCACGACCTGATGCGACCACAGTTCTATGGTGCATAGCGGTATCTCTCGTACATGCATACGCTTCACCCAAAGATGGATATCTGGCTTTCCTGAACGATCTATCGATATGCATGCCGTGTGATGGAACATGGATGAGGTTTTGGCCCCCGGCTCAATAGGCCTACCATCATACACAATGGTCACACAATCTCTCGGCTCACTCATCTAGGCATAAGCTCCGACCTCATCAAGAGCTAACCCAAAAACCCTCCTCGATTAATTCTTTATTGTAGGTAATAAGGCAAAAAAAAAAGAAAAATTGGCTAGATCAATGGGAATACAGGCCCCTACCTGTTTTAGAAGTAGTTAATGGTTCTTAAATGCGACAATAGGAATGAAAACCTAAACCGATAACTGAAGCTCAGGTGGTACTACCACCACGACCTCAACCCCATTCTCGATAATAAGACGAAGTATTGATAGCCTGCAAGTTTCTTATCAACGCCTTATATAGCATCCAAACAGACCCTTTACATCCTTTGCCAATCTGGCATAGGCATTTAAGTGTAGCTCAGAGAGATGAGAATGGGTGGGTGTGGGGTTGGGGTTGTGGTGGTAACATCGCTTGTGCCCTAAATAAGATCTAGACTTCTATTTTCACCTAACGTATTAAAAAACCACTAACGATTTCAAAAAACGGATAAAGGCTCGTTATCCCCACTAAATTACCCACAAAAAACAAAAAAACATAGCCCAAAGATTCTAAAAAATTTACAAGATTCAATTTGTTGGAAAATTAAGTGAATTAACCAAAAACAAAAAAGATTCTATAAAATCCATACTAGTTTTGACATAAAATGAGATAAAATATCTACATGAAGTTGACGCTTGAAATGTGCCCAAGTACCCCTCAATCGTTCTAATGGAATACACATGCCTCTTAAGGTCTACAAACTGAAATACAAATTGCTTTCAATTTCAGATTTATCTATTTACAACTTAGATTCACATGAAAATTAGGGCACTCCTGACATCGACGTACTAAATAAAAAACTCAAGCTACAGTAACGATAAATATTCTCATATTGTTTTTCGGATTATTCTGATCAGTGTTTTACTTTGAATTATTCTTTTTATCGAATGTGCCTTGGTATAACCAAAAAGATTGTCTACAAAAAGACCACTTATCTTTTGTACATAAAAGTTACCAATAAAAAGACCACTTATCTTTTGTACATAGAATTTACCATCATTCTCTTAAATTTTAAAATGGCTATTAAATAGATACAAAACTCTAAAAAAAAAAAATTTCGGACTTCATAACTCACCCAAAGCTATCCAAATTGACATCTAATGAATGGGATTGACATCTAATGAGTGAGAATGACTGTGACCATCATATACAAAAAATAATATCTTTGTAAACAATCCCATTGCGTAATTTGTAAAAAAAACAAGAATTAAAAAACAAAATCAATTTATGGCTCTTGGATCAACCTATTTTCAATTCCGCAAGTATACTTTACAAGCATCATCATTCAACCCCAAAATCCATAATTCCATTAAGGATCCCACTTTCAAATTGGGATTACAATCAATAGAAAGGTCACAGCCCACTTCATTTTGCTAACAAATTTTTGTGTTCTAAAGTTTCCTAAACAAGGTTACCCAAAACTGAACCAAAAAAATAACTCTTACTACTACCTCACCCTCACCCATGCATTCCTTTGAGAAACAGAGTAAAACAGAGGCCTCTGAACCCTCCAAATGAAAACCTCTCAACATGGGAACTTAGTGGGACTTCACATACTCCTGCTCTGAACCCCCCAAATGAAAACCTCTCCACATGGGAACTTAGTGGGACTTCACATACTCCTGCACAATGTGAAGGCCCACGGATTCTTCACCATAATCCTGCAATCCCACCCAGAAAAGAAATGAGGAAATGAAAGGAAAAAGATGAAGCCTACACAGATTGAGTGGGAAACCATACAATTTTTTTGGAATAAATTTATATAAGGTTGCAACCATAAAATGTAGAATTAAAAGTGCACTTCAAAAATCCATCATTAAAGGTTGTGTTTGGATGTTTGAAGACCCTCTAATTGCTTACCTCAACATCAAGATGTATGTATGAATATGAAAAGAAAAAAGATTTGAGTCCATGAAATAGTGCATCTTGCAACACATTATCTGGACCATCCATTTTCAAGATTTCATGTGTTTATAGATCTACCTGATTTGAACCATTTTAGACTTTAAAATTTTATAATCTGCAAATAGATTCTCAAGCCATCCTAAGAATTTTTTATAGGAAAAAGTTTATATAAGAGTGCAACCTTAAAATGTAGAATTAAAGATGCACCTCAAAATCCATGGAAAAAGTTGTTTTAATGTCAAAAAACCCTATTATTGACCATCTCGACACTGACATATATAAATATGAAAATTATAATAATAACAATAATAATAATAATAAGTCCCAAAAATAGTGCATCTTGCAACAAATTTATCTAGACCGACCATTTTCAAGATTTTCATATGTTTATAGATCTGCTTGATTTTAACCATTTTCGAAGTTTAAAATTTTATAATTAGGTATGAAAATAGATTTTAAGATAATCCTAAGAATTTTTACGCAAAAATTACATGTTCTGATAAAATTTGGAAGTGCGTTTTAATTGGATTGTTTAAGGTCGCAACCTTATAAAAACCACACCCTTTTTTATATCAAAATTATATTTATGATAAAATTTAGAGGTGCGCCTTGGATTGTTTAAGGTTGCAACTTGAAACCTTATGCAAACCATACCCTAACTTTTTTGGTACAAAAATATCACAAACAACGGTGCCATGCCATTAAACATGCTCGAAGTCTGAAAAACTTTCTCAGGGGAGAATTAACACATAGCCAGCCATCTGATTTCACATCTAACAACTAAGAATCATTATGACCTTGTACCAAAGGCAAATAGTTTCACATTATACAATCCTATGACGTAGAGAGATTCTGCCTTTACCTTTATAACAACACAGGAGCAACCGAGCACTTTCCTGGCTTTTCCTTCGGAGTCAATCTTGCACAACTGCATATAATAATAACACAGTGAGCTGAAATTTCTCTCTGCAGATTCAAATCATCTCTCTCTCTCACACACACACACACACATAGGGGCTCATGCATGTGCATGAATGCAGACAAAAAAGATCAAGAACAAGCAAACATAATAATTTGGCAAAGGAAACACTTGGATAGTCGGATATAAAATATTTGGACCAGCCATAAAGTCAAACTAATAATTTGACAAACTAAAACTCAGATATAATATAATGGGACCAACCATCAAAGCAACTCGGAAGATATAGATGTGCATAAGCAAACAACAATAAAAAACATAAGCAACAGCAACAGAACGCAGAACAGGAAAAAAGGAAACAGATGAACAGAATATATGACTTAAAAACATGGACACCGAAGGTCTATAAACAACTATAAGGATCAAACTTACAAATACAGGAGACAAGCAGAAGTAAGAAAATTACGAACATAATTGGAAAGAAGAAACACACGCATAAGCAGAAAGAAGAAGCACACCAGAAAGAAACTAGGCTGAGAGGTCTAAGTAGCACTCTGCCCTTTACAACTGACTTAAGGGGCTATATATAGACCCCGGACGTGAAATCCGGACTTCAAACAAAATTAAAAAAAAACATCTGGCCAGGACAGTTGCCCTTATGTACAATAAAAAGTTGATGTACAGTGGACAGGTGGTCAATCATGAACAGTGCAGCCATCAGAATAGTGTTGAAAATTGCTGCCGACAAAATAGTGTTGTACAGTGCTTCTTGAACAGTGCAGCCGACAAAATAGTGTTGTATAGTGCTTCTTGAACAATGCTGCCGACAAAATAGTGTTGTTTAGTCTGTATCATAATTGAGGGGATATCCATCAGAATCATAACTCGGTGAAGAGTGATTGGACGGGCTGTGTGAGGGTCCAATGTATGTATCATCACTTGAACTATCTATCTGTATTTCTGCAGGAGGAGGATGATCTGCAAGCCACATGTGCAGTTGGTGTAATAGAACAACTCCTCTGGGACTTTCATCATTCCAAACTGTTTCCTGTATAGACATCCAAAGGAGTCCATTCTGGCTGGATTCTGTTAATGTAGCACATGAGAATTTTCATTTCTTTCCATAAATCTGTCTGAAATAGCCAAAAATTTAGGAGATTGGAATCATACCATCCGATGGTTTGGATGAGAGGATGTTGGGTGAAATAGGTATGTTCTGGACAAACTTGAGGATTAAGGTCTTGATGGAAAACTATAATGATATAAGGTCGGTGAAGATAACCAAAGGATTCAATCCATTGATTATAATGGTAATGCTTTAAAAGGAATTTATTGAAGTTGAATGCTCTGGGATTGGGATGAATGTAATTGTTCCATTGTAAGAAATGACAGTGTCTGAGATAGGAAAGTAATTTCCTTACATGGAAATTAAAACATATATGGTGGTTATGGGTAAGATACCGGAGAAAACAAATGGCTTTTTTTGGCATATTATAATAATGTCTGATTTGGAATAGGGATAAAAATGGATATGATGGATGGCATCAAATTCCTGGGAAGCATTCTCCATGATTTCTGATTACTATTTCATGCATTTTTGGTTGCATATTCTCATTTCTGGAGTTCATTGTTTTTCTAAGAATGATGTCATATATTTCATCAGGAACATCTGGTGAATCATCATCTATTCGGATAATCGCTCCCAAAAAAGGAACAATTGGAAAACATGTCTGCCAAACTATTGTTTTTCCCATAAATATGCTGAAACTCAAAACTCCATTGAGAAAACTAGTTAGACCATCTGAGTAATTGAGAATTCGGAAGAATTTTGTTCTTGAATTTCAGCATATTTGAAAAAGCAGACAAATCCATTTCAACAAAGAAAGTATGTCCTATTAGATGAAATTGGAATTTTTCAATTCCTCTTTTTACCGCAAGGATTTCCTTGAATGTTGAAGGGTAATGGAATTAAAAATCTTTAAACTTTCCACTTTTATAGCCACAGATCATTCTGTCTTTTACTTTTTCTTCAAGTAAGATACATACCCAAAATTCATCAGAAGCATCAGTTTGCAAAATTCTTTTTCCTGTAGAGGGGATTTTAAAAGAAGGTAGATTTTGAGATAATCTTTTAAGCTCTAGAACACACTCAGTCTGTTTTCTTGTCTATGGCGGCGCTTTTTTCTTCAGCAAAAGGTAAAGAGGACTAGTGAACATAGAGAGCTTGGGAATAAAAAGGGACATATAATTTACAATTCTTAAAAATTGCTGGATTTGTTTTACAGAGGATAAAGTATCTAGAAACTCTAGCAAGTGTTTGGCTATATGAGGCTGGAGTTTGTACATTTCATTGTGAAAATGCATACCAAGGAAATCTATTTTTCTAGTAGCAAAGACACATTTTTTCTCAGAAAACATAATACCATATTTACAACAGAGGGAGTGGAATTTATCTAATAAGAGAACATGACTATCGAGATCAGAAGAAAAGAGGAGTACGTCATCTATATATATCAGTGCATGTGTTGAGAGTGGTTCAAAAGTGGTGGTTAAAACTTTTTGAAAGTATGTGGGTTCATTTTTTAAACCAAAAGGCATAACTGTCCAATGAAAATGGTAATGTGGTAAACAGAAAGCTGTTTTAGGACGATCTTCTGGGTGAATTCCAATTTGCCAAAATCCTGATTTTAAATCAAGTTTGGAAAATATGTGAGCATGTGATACTTGGGAAAATAGTGCAATTTGATTAGGCAAAGGAAATTTATCAGCTGCAAGGAAGGTATTTAACGGTTGGTAATTGATAACTAACCTGAGCTTTCCTCGGATTTGTTCAGCTCTTTTGTTTACATAAAAGGCTTCACAAGCCCAAGGAGTACTGGTAGGCTCAAATAACTGTTCCTTAATCAAATCTTGTATTTCTAGCTTAGCTTGGTCTAGCAAATCCGGATTTAAACCTCTGTGAGAAGCCTTTGTGGGATATATATCTTTATTTTTCTTAAAAAGCAGTTGAACATAAAAATTCTGATTTCTCCATAATGGATTTGTACATTTTTGGAGAAACTCAAAATGGGAATTGGCACAACAGTCTGATATAATTTTTTGTTTGACTGTATCTAAGGTGTAGGGAGGATCTATACAGGCTATCCATGGCAAGGTTAGGTTCCTATAATGTAATCCTTTGGAGGTCCATTGAAGTTTTACTTGATGTAAAACATCAAATCCAAGTAAAAGGTCTTTGTTCGGTAAATAGGATCCAAAGAGTTTATGTTGGATAACTACTCTAAGAAACAGTTTAATCAGAATGGGTTCGCTAATTTGTGTTATGGAAAATTTCTCTCCATTAGCAGCTCGAAAAGTTTGATTGCATGTTTCCCAAAACTGTTTTGGTAGCAAATCAGGTTTTAAAATACTAGCGAATGCTCCTGTATCAAAGAATGCTGGTATAGTCAAAGGCTTGGAATAGTGTTCTTAGAGTATCTGAACAAGGGCTATTGGGGTAGGCTGGTAGGGTAAACTGTTTATGTCTGAAATTTCATCCTGTGGAGACAATATCTCTGGAACACAGGTGTTGCTTATCTCATTGAGCTCAAAAACATCAGAATAAGAAATGGATATCAATGTATCAGAATACTGCTCATCATCAAGAGAAAACACAGATTCTAAGTCATCATCTATTTCTTTTTCCAAAACCTGTGATAAAAGATTTATTATCTTTTTTTTCTTTTTCTGGTTTGGGCAATCTTTTGCAAAATGTCATTTCTTTCCACAGACATAGCATATATCGCCTCTCGTGTATCTTCGAAATCTTGAACGTCGAAGGTACTTGAATCTTTTGAATTTCTTCTTTTTCCTCTTTTGGTCAAACTTCTTTTTGCCTTTCGAGGCAAGTGGACATGAACATTGTTTTTCTGCATCACATTTAATCTTGAGATATGGTTTATCACAAGATTTTCCCAGCAAATGCTTATTTTTTTCCATTGGTTTTACAAATTCAACTTGGTTGCAGAGTCTTTCAAGAGCATGGAGAACAAACTGGTATAATTCACCAAAACTGGTGTTTTGAATGGTAAGTCCTTGGTTTTCCATTGTTTTTGTTGCTTCTTTTCCAAGAGTAGGAGGTATGGATTCAAGATAAAATTGTTTCAAATTTATATCATCAATTCCTCCTATTTTATGGTATCTTTTGTTCATCTCTGAAAAATGTTTTTCAAGATCTTGTCGCTTGAAAGAACAACATTTAAGCTGAAAAAATTCTTCTCGGGCAGCAATTTGTTCAGGCTTGATTGGGCCTGAAAATTCAGAGACCAAATAATTAAGAAACTCAACAATGGATTACCTATGTCTTAACTATGTTTGCCGGTATTCTCCAAGACTTATGTACCAATAGAAAAGGCATCCTCTTAGCCTTACAATGACTTTAGAAATGGTACTGGCTAAGGTGTTTGCAGGATTATTCATTTCTGAATGCATCCATCCTTGAACCTCTCTGAATCTGTCATTCCATCATGAAAGTGGAATATCATCAATAGTAAATCCTTTAGATGAATCTCCATAGGTTGGGATAGGTTGAGGTTCTTAGTTTTCATGAGGTCTAAATTCTTCTTCCATTACAGGGTCTGGTTCATGAGGTGGTTTAGAGGGCTTCATCATTAACAAAGAGTCTGAATTCAAGGAAGAAAAAGAGGATTTATCATCAAAAGTTCAGAGGTATCAGTCATAGCTTCTGACGATTGTGTTTCAGTTTGAAGATTTACTTCAGGCTGTTTGGTCAAGTTTTTGAGGAATGAACTCAAATTGTTCAAGGGCTCAGAGGAAGTTAATATCTGAGTTGAGACTGAAGAGGCTACAACATCTGACTCAGTGTCAGAAGACTGAAACATTAGGGTTTCATTTTTAGGTATTTGAGGACTAAGATGATGTTGCACTGTTACATGTGGTGAAGTAACAGAAGGTTTAAGTATTGGAGTTTGTGTTGAACTGGGTACTGAAATATTTGGTTTCTTTCGCAA